AAGTCAATGACGATACACGTCCTATCAATATTGTAGCATCATGGTAACCCAGAGAATTTATGTGGAAGAACAAAATTAAGTCAAAGTTTGGTTTAGATAAAAATAAATAAATAAATAAATAAATAAATTTAGTAGACAAGCGTTATTAGTTTTTATTCCACCACTAGCTACACGGACCGTTATTAGTTTTTATATTTTTTGAAATACTAGTCACAGGTGAACGTGTAGATACTTTATAAGTGTTGTAAAAGTAAGTGTACATGAACTTGAAGAATTAATTTGCCCCGTTATGATCTAAATATGAGAGAAATGCCAACCCTGAATATAAACGTTAATTATTATATATGCACGTAAATAGTGAAATGCATAATTGAATGTTATAGAAAAACGAAAAGTAACGCATTATTAAAAATAATTTATATACACGTGATCTTTAAAATTAATTTAGACAAAAGGGTGTGTATGTTGAGCATAAATAAATTTACATGAACATGAATAATTTATTTACTCCTAGAGTAATTGTATAGCTAAGCGCATGAAGTTGAAGAATTAATATGCACAATTTTTATATAAATATGAGAGAAATGCAAGTCCCTAAAAATAAATGTTAATTATTATACATGCACGTAAATAGTGAAATGCATGATTGAATGTTATTGAAAAATGAAAACTAATGTATTATTGAAATAATTGAATTGCAGGAGGATTAGATTCGTCCAAAAAATAATTCCCACTCGATGTGATATTTTATATATTATAGATTAACTAGGGAAAAAAACGGTTGGGCCTCGACAATCGGCAAGAAACAGGGGCCCAGAAATATTGGTTGTGTCGGATTTTTTATTATTATTATTATTTGGGACTTAAATTTACACCTTTACTAAAGCGAGCATAAAAACAAAAAGTCTAATTATTTTTCTATCATAGTTTATTTCGTACACCGCATTATAATTGTATTTAAGATTCTTAATTTTTACTCATTATAACACTTATGTTCCTAACGATTTTTTATGTCTTTCTTATCATCAAACTTTTCATTAGTTAATATAAGTTATATCTGATAACAATTTTATGTTCATGAGTCCGTTAAAATAGCGTAAAATAACTTATTTTACCATCATATTTTAAAAATACATAAATAAAAGTAGAAAGGAATATTTTCCCTAATTTCAAAGTATGAGACAAAATAATTAGATATTAATCCACATCAAGGACGAGATTTACTAATTAATGGAAGGTTAAAAATAAGAGTTCGATGGAAATAAGTTAAGAAAATATTTGTTACAATAAGCAAAGATTGAAGAGCTTAATTATAATTAAAATACGGTGTATCAAATAAAAATTGTAGTGAAAATATAAACATTAAAAAAAAATCCGCAAATAAATTTAAAAAGTCTACTAATTCTATACTTGTTTTTCAATTTTTTCTTCTTTTTGTTCCCAAAATCTATTTTTATTTTTTTTAGTTTTTACCATAAAGTTTTTAAAAACAACTCTTACATATATTCACCATCCGATTTTCAATGTCGTCTCATGGCAACCACTTGTGATGCCGTGTTAAATGCACTCATTGTTACACAATCACCATATACAACTTTCCCATTAATGATCACGTGTGGTCTTATACCACCACCACAACCTAATTGTCATCGCCATCACCATCGTACCCAATAAATTCTATAGTTGTTGTCACAACAACCTCTGCCATCTTCATCACCACCTTTCCTTACCATCACCACCTTCGTCCACCAAAACCACCACTTACACCACAACAATGGCAAAACCTCAAAATCGAATCTAATTTCAAAATCTATTTCGATTTTCAAATCCAAAACACAAATATGAAATTGATAGAGCAATCAAAGCAATAGACAATGGGCGGTAATGGATGGTGGTGGTGGGTTTGGGGATGGAAAAATCGAACATCATTGAAATGAGGGTTTTAATTTTGGGAACTCAGATATGATGATGTGTTGGTTAAAAAGATAATATTGTAGACAGAAGTGGTATTGGTTGTGGTCAGTTCAGATGGTAGGTGGTTGTTCAATTTCGGTGTATTGTATGTGATTGATCCATTTATGTGTTTAATTGTGTGTATGTAGAATAAAAAATGATAATTAGAAAATTAAAAAGAATGGGAACTAACTACCTTCTATAATTGGGAAATTTGGCCAAATAGTTTGATTGGGCAATGAGTTTTGACAAATGGCCTTTGACCAACATTAAAACAAAATAAAATAATTTAAAATGTTTTAATTGGTAATTGACAATGTTGCCCTTCGATTTATATCAAAGTATTCACTCAATTTATTTCATTTCATCTTGTTCTTTCTTCTTCATTTTCACTATGAAAACCTATACTCCAAATTTGAATCTAACATCATCTTATTCATCTTAGTTTTCTATAAATTTCAATATTACAAAAAACTTTTTCTTTGATTCAAGTTTATTTCACAGTAATTTATTTCTCTTTGGTAGAAACTAGTACAACAAAAAAAAAAAAAAAGATAATTTTTCCGTCAATTTTTTCATTTTGAAATGTGATTTTTTGCTACCATTGGTGTAAGTTTAGAATTAAAAAGTGTAAATAGGGCATTTTTTTTTATGATTTCATAGTTTCTTTGTATATTTAGTTTAGTTTTAGTTGAGTTTATTAAATGTAGATTGAATTTTGATACATTTGGTGTTTTGAAAATGATAGGTTAAAAAGTAATTCATTCATTAGTGATAAGTTTGTTCCACTCACGAATTTTGTACAATTTTAGCTTGATTATTTGCTAGATTTTTTAGTATGGAATATTTTTGATGTGTTTGTTAGTGTTGTTTTGAAAATTAGGAAATGTGATGCAAAAAGAGGTACTTAAGTGAACGAAGCCAAAAATAAAGAATTTGGAGTAAAAAGGCGGTGCCTAGGCGCAGTGCCGGCCTCACTTGCCTTGGGCCTCAAATTGTACGGGGTCTCATCTGTTAAGAAAAAAAATTGACACAAGAAAACAAATCGCCTTTCTCCATAAATTCTTTTTTTTTTTCCCGTTTTAATCCTTCATCTTCTCTTCTCCACCACAAGGTAAGGTAGAATTAATCCCTAAATTAAAACTACCATCGACATTGTAATTTTGTGTTTTTCTCGTGGATTTGGCTATCTCAAGGACCAATTTCCCATTCCTTTGTGTCAAAAGGTATGTATTTCATTAAAAACATTGATAAATTTTAAAAACGAGACGGTTTGGATTTGATTTTTGCATTAAAAATTTTGTTTGCTACTGAATGAGGTTAAAAACGAGATGGGTTTGGATTTTGCTTGTTCATATATGCAATATAACAGTATAGATATCTTAGGGCAATTTCTCTAAAGTGCAATTTTATTCAATTTATGCATTTGTTGTGCATTTGAAGCTTGTATAGGATAAAAATGGGGATAATGTAAAAGTTTATAGGAAAGCCAAAGGTAAGATCAACTTTTCCCGTCTAAGAAATTTCAATTCCGGAATTCCCTTTACGGCTTTACGTACATGAGGCTTATGTTTGGAAGGAAATTAGATTTATTTATTAGCAGAATACATTTATACATTAGCAGAGAGTATTTTCTGCATAGCAAGTGTTTGATGATTTGTCTAAAGGATCTTCTAGGTGAAAAATATTTGAATTTTCCCAATGTCCATATAGTAGTACATCATGCCATCGAATTTCAAATTCCAAGTCCAAACCGGGGTGATTAACTTATTCCAATGCTGGCATCAGCTGTGAAGAATTAACCCAATTACAAACTAGCACAATAAGTTCCAATTCTAAGTAAAAATTTAGAAGGATTAAGTTGTTGAGAAGTAACATATAATATGTCTGTGCTTCTAAATGAAAATATTAGGAATACAAAAATATCAACTTAAAAAAAGAGAAATTATTAAAAAGACAAGTAAACTGGCTCATGTTGGGAAATTCAGAGGGCAAACTGATGCAAGAATTACATAATCCTTAAATAATTTCATAAAAAGCAACCGTAAGGTATTTCATGGGAATGAGACTTGGGAATGTGTTCTATTTTTATAATTCCTATTATATGGTTTTGATATGAGATAATGTATGCCTTTTATCATGTCCCTAAACCTTATTTTGTTACGTCCTTCTATCTAGCAAAAAACGAAGTGTACAAGCTATGCTTACTACTAAACATAAATTGCAAGTAGAATTTAAGAAAAATGGAGAAGCTATAATATGTTATTTAGTTCATTTTCTTACCATCTTATGTCTTTTTTTCTTTGAATTTAATTTGGATAAAATTGCTCTAATTATGTTCCATATTTTTTGAATAAAAGTGCTCTAATTGTGTTCCATATCATCTTACAGCCGCATTGTCTACTTCAATCACCACCACAACCACCAATTTCTGAATCCTTTCATTTTGGGACTCATCAATCAGGTTTTATCGCTCTTTACTTGTTATTATGTCTACGAGAAAATTTGAATCTGGATGTGCCAAAAGAAAAAGGAAGGAAAAGATTGAAAAGTTGATTAAATCTCAAGAGGGAGTACTTGATAAGTTTTTTGGTAGTAGTAAACGAACACACAACAATGACATAGCTACTGAAGAAGTGTTAAATGAGAATGACAACAATAATAATATAATTGAAGAAGGATATTGTGCGATGAATGAAGAGGTATCTACTGACAAAGATAATGAACAATTTTCTCTTGACCTTGTTGATCCAGCAAATTGGGGAAATATGAATACGAATTTAAGAGATTTAATTGTAATGAAAGGTCCTGTAAAAGAAAATGATCTGATTTTTTTGAAAGATGGAGCAAATCGACACTTCTCATCCACACATTACGTTCGACGATTACCTAATGGAAAGAAGAATGATTGAAAATGGTTGATATATTCAAAAAGTTTGGATAAAGTATTTTGCTTTTGTTGTAAGCTATTCAAGAATGATGGGATTAGAACCCAATTGGCAGATGATGGAGTAAATGATTGAAAAAATGTTGGTGAAAAACTTAAAATGCATGAAGCAAGTTGTGACCACATCAATAACATGAATAAATGGATAGAAATGGAATTAAGATTTGAAAAGAGTAAAACAATTGACAAAAGTGTGCAAGAACAAATCAATAGAGATAGAGAACATTGGAGACAAGTATTATTGAGAATAATATTTGTGGTGAAAACTCTTGCTGAGAATAATTTAGAATTTCGTGGGGACAATGAGAAGATATATCAAGAAAATAATGGTATCTTTTTAAGCATGATTCAAATGATTGCTGAGTTCGACCCCGTAATGCAATAGCATGTTCGTCGAATAAAAAGTAAAGAGATTCATTATCATTATATAGGACACAAAATTTCGAATGAGTTGATACTTATGCTAGCGGGTGAGATAAAAAAAATAATCATTGAGAAACTCAAAATTTCTAAATACTTTTCTGTTATACTTGATTGCACTCCAGATACAAGTCACGAAGAACAAATGTCAATGATATTGAGGTGTGTAGATATTTCGACAAGTCCATTGAAGGTTGAAGAATTCTTTTTAGGGTTTTTATTAGTGGATAATACATCAGGTAAGGGGCTTTTTGAGGAATTGGTGGCTACTTTGAATAATCTAGAACTTGATATTGATAATGTAAGGGGTCAAGGCTATGATAATGGTGCTAACATGAAAGGACAACATAAAGGAGTTCAAAGTAGACTATTACAACTAAATCCTAGAGCATTTTACATTCCTTGTGGATGTCATGGTCTTAATCTTGCACTTTGTGATATGGCCACTTGTTGTTCAAAGGCTAAATCTTTCTTTGGGGTGGTGCAACGTATATATACTTTATTTTCTTCATCTACTAAACGATGGAAAGTTTTCAAAGAGAATGTAATTGGTCTTACCCTTAAGCCTTTGTCACAAGCTCGTTGGGAAAGCCATATTGAAAGTGTTAGAGCGATAAGATTTCAAGCTCCGCAGATAAAAAAAGCGTTACTTCAATTAGCAAATGTTGATGATCCTAAGACAAAAAGTGAGGTGGAGTGTTTGGCAACATATAAAATTGACAATTTTGAATTCTTACTTGGAATGATTATTTAGTATGAAGTGTTGAATAATGTTAACAGAGTAAGCAAACAATTGCAAGCAGAAGACATGCATATTGATGTTGCTATAGACCATTTAAAAGGCCTCAGTTCATTTTTCAAAAGTTATAGAGAATTTGGTTTTGAATCGGCCATGGTTGATGTTAAAGAGATTGCAAGTGAATTAGAAATTGAACCGATATTTTGTGAAAAACGAGTTATACATAGGAAAAAACAGTTTGATGAAACTTCTTCTGAAGAGATAACACAAACAGCTGAATAATCTTTTAAGATCAATTATTTCATATATATAGTTGATCAAGCTCTATCATCGCTTCAGAATAGATTTGAGCGATTTCAGAAATATGATGATATTTTTGAATTTTTGCTTAATTTGAAAAGACTTAAATCTATTGATGATGATGTTTTGAAGTGTTCTTGCATTACACTTGAAAATTACTTGAAGCATAATACGATTTCTGATATTGATGGAATATAATTATTTTCTGAGTTGAAAGTTTTAAGGGAAGCAATATCTAATAACTGCAAAAAATTTGGGAGCAATTGATGTATTGGATTACATTAAGAAAATGAACTGTTGTTATGCAAATGTCTGGATTGCTTATAGAGTATTATTGACTATTCCTGTCACAGTTGCCTCTGCCGAAAGAAGTCTTTCAGAGTTGAAGTTGATTAAGTCTTATCTTCGATTATCCATGTCACAAGAGCGATTAAATGGATTAGCTTTGATTTCTATTAAAAAAATATGTTAGACAAACTTGATGTTAGTAATTTGACTACTAATTTTACATCTCAAAATGTGAGAATGTTAAATCTTATGCTAGCCTAATCTTTCGGGTTGTGAAATAAGTTTTATTTTGTTATTCTATCTTTCGAATTGTATGAAGTTTTCTTTCTAATATAAAAGTGTTAATTATTTAATTATTTACATATTGTTAGACTTGTAAAATAAATTTTGTGTTGCAGGGCCCTATAATAATTAAACGCCTAGGGCCTCTAAATTCTTAGGGCCGGCCCTGCCTAGGCGTTGCACTCATAGCGCCCAAGCACTACAAAATGTGAAAAAAGGAAGAATTGGAGCAAAGAGGGGCAATGCCTAGGCCCTGTAATCATAGCTCCTAGTCATTGCCATCAACGCTTAGGCGCTGCGTGTGATTTGTCGCGGTGCTTAGGCGTTGACTCCTAGCGCTTAGGCACTGTGTCGGGGTCATCTAGGGCAAGTTTGTTGTTTTTGAGTCCATAAAAATCCTACTTTCTATACAAACGAGGGGCCACATATAAATACAAATTCCTCACACTTTGGAGGGGATTTTTTTTCACACATTGAGAGGCAAGAGAATATAATTGGAGAATCAAAAAAGGAATTCATAGGAGGAAAACATCAGACAATTGAAGATTTAACGCATTGATTGGAAGAGGAAGAAGGTCTTCATGTAAGAATTCTACTTTTTTCTACATCTTTACTACAAATCCGATGATGTATTCTATGACAATTGATTATTTTTCTTCTTTCATTATGAATAGTTAAATTCATTGTTAAGGAGAATAATGTAACCAATTGAAATCCTTTATATTTTCTTACTAAAGTTCTTGGTTTTTATTGTTTTATGTGTTGATTTTACTATGAACTAAATGCATTAAATTACTTGATCAATAATTTGATGATTTTGTGAATTATTTACGAATAGAGATAGGAGTTTAGGATTTAAACCATATAGTAAAATTTGGTAAATTGGTATAACGAGTAAATATACCTATGCCAATTATTGCAATCATAATTGAATTTCTAGGGCGAAGAACTCGTTTAACTAAGTGGATTGCATAGAGATATGGAATTTAATTAGTGAAATAGGCTCAGTGAAAACTTAAGAGGGGTAAATTGAAATCAATAAGAGAATTCGACTGAATATTACATTAGGTAAAAATCTTGATTTGAGATGTCAAGGTGATCACTAGGTGAAGTTATTCTGCCCTAGCATTCGTTCATAAATTGATTTTCAACCCAATCGTGTGTGCATTCATTAACTTCCTCAAATTTAGATAATAAAAAAAAAAAAAACAAATCCTACAAGTTTTTGTTTCAATCAAATAGTGGTTAAAGAAAAATTAAATTAAGTGCTAGAATATAGTTCTTGTGGATCGACAACTCGGACTCTTAGGTCCACTATTTACTTGTTACGATCCGTACACTTGTGGAAATAAAATTGGCAACAATTAGCATTGTTATAAATGAAATTTGTGATATCAAATTTGCTTGTTGGTGTACCATGGGACTTAGAGAGTTACACTCTAGGTAATTTGATTTAAGTAATTTGGCGTTGTCTTGTAAAACTCTTTGGATTATGCTTTACTGTATTTAGTGATTTTCTTTGAGTCCCGTTATTTAACTTTATATTTGTTGATTTCAGAATTTATAGACAAAAATGCAACGCATAATGTGCTCTAATAGTTACAGATTGAATGAAATCTATTAAAATGATATTATTATAGAGTAATATAACTCCTAGTATTTATGTCGTCGGCATAATTTTTGCATGTGTTGCTATGTGGATCCTTAGATATGCCCTTATTTTGTTTAGCTGAAAATCATATTTTTAATATATTTTGATAAAAGTTAATGAAATGGGTAGTTAAAAAATTAATAAAAATTGTGGATCCCATAAAACGTGTGGCTGAAAATGAGTTTTAAAAAGGGGGAACAAACATCAACTATGTTTTGCTATTTTTAATACGATACCCTTATTTATAGAATGAATCTTGACATACTAAATAATGTGTATAAGCTGGCAACTTGAAAGATTGTGTATCACCTTTACTAAATTTGCAAAATTTTATTCCAATTGAACCTTGACACCGCCATCACCATCACCATCACCATCACCATCACCATCACCATCACCACCGTACCCATAAACTCTACAATTTCCGTCACAAGCACCTCCACCATCTTCATTATCGCCTTTCCTCACCATCACCACCTTTATCCACCAGAACCACCACTTACACAATAATTGCAAAACCTCAAAATCAAAACCGATTTCAAAATCAATTTCGATTTTCAAATTTGAAACACAAATATGAAATCGATACCAATCAGAGCAATAAAAGGTAGACGATAATGGATGGTGGAGGTGGGTTTGGGGATAGAAAAATTGAAACATGATTGAAATGGGGGATTTAACTTTGGGAACTTAGATACGATGATGTGTTGGTTAAATAGACAATATTAAAGACAGAAGAAGTATTGGTTGTGGTTGGTGATTGTTCAGTTTGGGTGTGTTGTATGTGATTGATCCATTTATGTGTTTATTTGTGTGTCTGTAGAATAAAAAGTGGTAATTAGAAAATTAAAAAGAATGGGAAGTAAACGACCTTTTATAATTTTAAGGCGGTATTGTTTTTAAGTTACAATCATTATGCCAATTTTGGGGTGTTATTGTTTTTGAGTAACGCTATTTATCCCCACTTAAATTATAACTCTAGTCTATCTAATGTGACATTCTATAACCACGGTTGGGCTAAATAACATTATTCATTATTTTTGGGTGAATGTCAATTTTGAAGTATGTTTGAGGGGTAATTTTTAGAGAGTGAATTCTGGAAATAGGGGAAAATCTCGGGGGTGCATTTTTAGAATTGGTCCAAGATGGGACGTATCTGAAATATTCTGGCATCAACGTGGTGTACATTTGAGAAATGTTTGTTACTTAGGGCTCGACAATAACAAGCTTGATGGGGTTGTGCCTGAGGCAGTTGGGGCATTAAAGTTTGTGAGGGAATTGAATTTGGAGTCGGAGAGTCCCATTTCCCTCACTTTCTGCGTCTGAGCTTGGAAAAAAATTGAAGTTGGAAGCTGTTATATTTATAAATTACGTGGCATGCACACGTATATATGTCGACTAAGCATTGATATTCAATTGGAGTGGGAGAGTCCCATTTCCTTCACTTTTTGCATCTAAGCTTGGAAAAAAAAATTGAAGTAGGAAGGTGTTATATTTATAAATTACTTGGCATGCACATGGACATATGCCAACAAAACATTGATATTCAATTGAATTGGACTTATTAAATTAAGCATCCTCGTTTTGGGCTTGAGCTTGTTAAATTATCCCCAATATGTAATTGAGTCAATTTCATACTTAAGGTAATGTTAGTTCTAACATTAGCCAAACCATATCTCCCTTCTTTTGTGCTCATTTTTTCTTGTCCAGATTGCCATACACTTCTTCGATCGCTGATCTTTTCCTTCAACGGGATGTTTAAGTGCGCAGGTGACTTTTACGTGAAAGGGAGGTGGCCAAAATTCTGTTGGCCACGTGTCCGTCAAATTTTAGGTCAACATATAACAATAATAAATAAAATTTGAGTTTTAAATCAGTTTTTAGCTAGTATTTATTTATTAAATGAGTAATGATATTTGCAGTCGCTTACTATTGTAGTCACCCTACGTGGCATATATGTGGTGGTTAGTGATTTGATATATGAGTAAGAAAAATTATCATATTATTACATCAAATCACAAGCCACCATAAAGGAATGAAGGATGTCACATAGGGTGACTACTTTAGTGAGCGATTATGAATAATATTATTCTTATTAAATAGCTTTAAAATTCAATTGGCATTAGGACTTTTAATTTTTATTATCATCTAGATATTAGTTATTAATCATGGTTATTAATTAATTAGAGTTGATCATTTATTAGAATTAGTGATATAAATAAGGGTTGCGGACTTTAACCACAAAAAAGGTTATTTTTCAATTGAAATAAAATACTGTTGAGATTTTTTCCCGCTTTCTTAAATTCTTGATATTTGATATTTAAAATCAATGACTCTAAAATCTTGGTATTTGTGCACAAATTAAAGAGTTTTTGACATCTAAATTTTTGTTATTCTTATATACAATTTTCATTTAAAAAAATCAACGAAACTTTGATAGTGTGTTCATTTATATTATTTCTATCAATTCCGCCACCCTACATCAATAGTTCTAACTGCTTTGACGGGGACTCGATATTGACTAATGCTACTTAAGCTAGTGGTACCTTTGGGAGCAGAGATTCCCAATTTTGCCCTCTTTTATGATGGAGATTCTTGTACAAGATCACTTGCTTCTCATGCATTAATGTGTGTTGGGATTATAATTTTCTTTAGAGATTTTACTTTAGCTGACCAAAATAATAGGTAGAAAACAAAATATAATAGTATAATGGTACATTTGAAAAATGGGTTGAATATCTTGCAACAAATTTAATATTGAACTGAATTAGCGACGATAAATAATTTAATTAATCGATTCCCAAGTTGTTACTTGTTAGAAATACATAATTACATGATCTTGATTTCCTAAACTCAATATATCTAGGTTGGGAAGATTGAACATGGATGTTAATTTTATTGGCTTATGAGAATAACATCAGAAATGACACTGTACTATAACACATATTTTAGTTCATAGTATTGGACATGATTGAAATAAAAAAATCAGAACTTCTTTCTCTTCCTTAATACGGTTATCGAGACCCGCGTATCCCTATAGAATCTTTGTGGTTGACAACAAGACTCCAAATGAAAATAGTTCTCAATCCAGGTTTTTTCGAAGGAAAATAAATAAAAAAATGTTTCTAGCTACCTAGGGGAAAATAAGATCAAGAAACATCATTAAGAATACCCACTGTTTGACTCAATTTGATGCAAATCATTGTTCAATTCTTGGTACTATTGATTCAGCATCAGGTCCAGGATAAGGACCTTTAGATCGTGATCCTAATCGAGATGATCCAACATTGTTTGACTCTTTCGACTTCTTTCTCCTCGATTTTTTTGGAATGTCGGGGATGTTTTCTGATGTTGATTCGCATTCTTGGTGTTGTCGATTTGATTTAACGCTATCAGATGAGTCCTTCGAATTGTGTCGTCTTGAGTGTCTTGATCTGGTTGATCCATCTTTCTTCCTCGGCGAATCATTTGGACTGTCTAATGAAGTATGACGCCTCGAAGATTTGGGCAATTTAGGTAGTTCTCTGCTTCCTTTTTTCGAATCTACAAAAGAAAAATGTTTCAAAAGAGCAAAATGTATTGATATACTGGACTAGATAGTACTAAACACGAATCAACAATTTTTTAATCACGTTTGTAGTATCTAGATGGTTGGAGTTTCCAATATTATGACGTGTATGACAACTTCTTACACAATCTTAAACACGATAGTCTTATTCTTGTTTTAGCTCAAATCTTCGAAAACATAACTTTATTAATGAATCAAAAATTTCATTGCACATAAAATAAACATAACCAAACCTTCAGAAACCCATTTAACTTCAGGGTTCTCTTTAGAGTCTCCAGGTTCCCTTAAAGGTGCTGATTGGAATCCTCCTGTTGATTCTTTGAATTCTTTCATCTGCAAACATAATCAGCACATAATAACGCAATTAAATGTCATTAATAATTGTTAATATTTCATTAAATATATGGGATTATCGATTAGTTATTTTTAACCAAAAAAATGGGAAAATTTTGATGGGAATTTATACCCAGCTTGGTGAATTTTCAATTGAAGCAGAAGGGCCATCCCATCCTATATGAGCCAC